AAAACAATGAGTCTTTCTGCAAGGAACAATATATTCTAAAATGAAATGGAGATCTTTTTTAAAGGTTAAAAAACTCATTCACTTTTATGTCTTACAGGGCTTATACTGAGTTCAATATTGTATAACTGTATTAATTCAACTGTGAACCTAGAAACTTAGGCACTTGTGAAAGAGATGTACTCTTTCTGTGGAATGTGTTACTGAATATGTTAAAGCTGTACTGAAATGCTTCTTCTAATCATGTAGTTATTAAAATTAAAATATATGTATATTAAGGTTCATTTTATCATACTTTCTCAAATATTACACTATATCTCATACATTTGGTAAATATGCTCCAAAGTGAAAAATCCATACTGCCTTGGTCTCTTTTTCCTGTTTGTTTTGTGTTTTGAGACAGGGTCTTGCTCTGTAGCCTCAGTTGATTGGGAGCTGGACTGATTCCCTGTTTTAGCCTCTGAGTGCTAAGATTACAGGCATGGACCACCATGCTGAGCTTTAAGGTCTTAAAGAAGAAATTATAAAAGGAATCATGATTTTAAAAATTATCATGCTTTAGAACTTAGGGAATTTATTAATTTTTAAATTTGACTTATGTTTCAGTTAATAAGTATAAATATGAATAGTCAAGCAACCTATTTATCCTAGGGGATCTTGTCAAAATTACCAACTAAAACCAAGATACTGGATGCAGGATGGTAGCAGGGTAGTTAGGATAATTAAGCACTTTATAGTCAAGTATTAGAAACTTGGTTCTCTTTCCCACAATTGAAATTTGAAGTAAAGTTGCTTTTTTGAAACTTTAAATTTTTCTATTGGTAAATTAGATGTCATAGGGCACACCTTGCGAAGTTTATGAGAATACAAGATACAGTGTGGAGAGAAACCAGAACAGCAGTTGGAATAATAGACACTGAAAAATGCCATTTGAGTGTAGTCAAGACTATATAAGAAGCGGGTACACTCCACATTCACTAATGAAGTTCAAAACTACCTCTCTAAAAGGAAGATTATAAGTGTACCTTTCTAATAATGTTAATCTAGAATTTATTTCTCTAATATTTCTGATATGAACAGATTCATAGTCTGTGCAGCACAATGATTAATATCCAGGTCATTTGGTCCAATCACTTTCTCCTTTTTTAATTTTTTAATATTTTATTATTTTTATGTGTATGAGTATATTGCCTGCATGTGTGTAAGTGCACCCATGTCGTGCAATGCCCACGAAAGTCGGAAGATGGTGTTGGATCCCCTGGAGTTAAGGATGGTCATTACCCACCGTGTAGGTGCTGGGAATAGAACCTGGGTCCTCTGCAAGTGCAGTCAGTGCTCTTAACTGCCAAGCCATCTCTCCAGCCCACCAATCACTTTCTTAAAAAGCATAATATAACACACACCAACTACTCTACTTACTCAATTTTTAAAATTCACTTAGTTTTCTTTAAGGAACTGAAACTTTAGGTGATGCCAAGATCTTTTAACCCTCATGTTGAAAAAATGGTATTAAAAGATTCTGAAACAGATGACAGATTTCTAATTTTATACTTTTGTTTAAAATTAGGCCTCAGAAGTCTCTAGAAACAGAGGAGCATCTTTACTGGCCAGGCCAGGACACAGTCTGGTAGCTGCTATTCGAAGCCAGCATCAACATGAGTCATTGCCATTGGGTATGTATCCTGTGTTTCAGGGCCCCTGGCTACCCACTACTGAGCATTGCTTTCCTTATGATCAGCCTTTAGTTCAAAGGCCTGGATTTTCTTTTTCTTCTTTAAAAAAATACATTTATTTGTTTTTTTTTTATTTAATTTATTGAGACAGGGTCTCACTGTATAACTCTGACTAGCCTGGAAATTATTATATAGACCAGGCTGGCCTTGAACTCATAGAGATCTGTCTGTCTCTGCCTCCGAAGCACTGGTGTTAAAGTCCAGTGCCACCACGACTGGGCTATCGTCTTTTATAACACTTACTGCACACCCTTTACTCCCATCACCCCCTCTGCCCTTCCCTCCCTCCCTCCCTCCCTCCCTCCATACTTCCATCTCTCCTTATTTCCTCTTAATCTTCATGATCCTTCTTATTTCCTCTGTTCAGTGATTGTTGATTAAATCCAGAAAAGCGTGGTTTAAACGAAACAACTGTTTCATTTTCTTCTATCTTTATGCAGGGTTTTGCACTGCTTTGGTGTTTATTTGTTTATTATTGTTATACCAAGGATTCGATGTGGGAGTGAGGTCCAATGTGACATGCTAGGCAAATACCCTAATATTAAGCTACAACCCCAGACTTTTTAAATATTTTATTATTTTTATTTTATGTGTATGAGTGTATTGCCTGCATGTATGTGAGTGCACCCATGTCGTGCAATGCCACGGAGGTCAGAAGAGGGCTTCGGATTCCCCTGGAACTGGAGCTAAGGATGGTTCGTAGCCGCCATGTGGGTGCTGAGAATCGAACCCGGGTCCTCTGCAAGAGCAGTCAGTGCTCTAAACCGCTGGGCCATCTCTCCAGCCCCAATCCCAGACTTTAAAAAAAATTGAGATTAGTTGCTGACTTTAACTTATTCTGTAGCCCAGGTAAGCCTTGAGTCATAGTGATCCTCCTGCCTCAGCCTTCTGAATAGCTAGGATTACAGGCCTGTGCCACCAGATCCAGGTATATGTAGATTTTTAAGACTTATTTTTTTATTTTTTATGTGTATGTTTATGTGTGTGTGCGTGTACACGTGCATACTCCATATATGTGCAGATGCCCTCAGCAGCCAGAAGACATCATTGAATTCCCCTGCAGCTGTAGTTACAAGCAGTTGTGAGCCACCTGACATGGGTGCTGGAACCCAAACTTGGGTCCTCTGGAAGAGCAGCCAGTGCTCTTAACCACTGAGCCATCTCTCTAGACTTTTTTTTAGTGGAATATTTTTATTCTTTGAGAATTTCATACATGTATGCAAAGTATTTTGATCGTATCTACCTCCCACTCCCCGCCCCCAGCTCCTCCTGGACCCCTGCTCCCCACTACATCCCAACTTGATGTCAGCTTCTTTTTTTTTTGTTTATTCACTGAGTCCAATTAATGCTGTGTACATATGTGTGCATGGGCTTAGGGTCATGCACTGGAGAATGTGCACCCTACCAAGGGACATGCCATTGAAGAAAACTCACTCTCCCTCCCATAGTAGCCATCAACTGCCTGTAACTCCTCAAGGATGGGGCCTTATAACACCCTGCCCCATCGATGCTGAAATGTTGACTGGACTGATACTGTGCAGGTCTTGTGGAGGCAACTACAACTGCTGTGACTTCATGAGTGCAATGGCCCTGTCATGTCCGTAAGATGCTGTTTCCTCCAGTCTTTCTGAACCTCTGGCTCTTAAAATCTTTATGCTTCACCTTTTGTGATGTTTCCCGAGCCCCTGGTAGAGAGAGTGTTACTGATGTTAAGACTGAGCACTCCACAGTCACTTACTCTCTGTACTTTGACCAGTTGTGAGCCTCTGCATAACCACTGTCCTCTGCAAAAAGAGGCTTCTCTGATGAGGGCTGTGAGCTTCACTAATTTATGAGCATAAAGATAAGTATTTAGAAGGCATTTTAATACTATGTCCATTTATCAAAATAACAACAGTGGGTTCTCCTGTCAGGTCTATGACTGCCTAGCTACTGGTCAGGTTTACAGTACGAGGAATGTGTTCTCTCATGTAGAGCAGGCCTTAAATCCAATCAGAAAGTGGTTGATTACCCCAATAACATTTATGCCATTATTGCACCAATGAGGGTATCTTGCCAGGAGAGTTGTGCAGCTGAAAACTGAGTAAACTATATGTAGTTTTAAAATTTATTCTCTCTTTCCATGTATATGTGGGGGAAAGCTTGCACAGTCATCATTCCCAACCTCAACTACTTCTCAAAGTACCTATATTAAGGAAAATATGATGAGAAGTCTAAATATTGACAATATCCATCACTAGGACAGGGAAATCAATGCATAGCCATAGGCAGTAAAAGGATTTCTCTGAATTCAAGAGTCATTTGCCATCACTTTGACAAAAGGATTAAGAAAACCTACAAGGACTAGAGAACTCCAGTCAGATGTTCTAATCTCCTACTGTCCACACAGAGATAAACACTCTGGATAGTTCCTGGCATACTAAAGATGATTGACTTAGACTTGATTCACTTTTAGTCTTATCTCTGAAGATAATAATATTTTTATGCAAGAGCTCTTTTTATGAGAACTTCATATTTCTACATCTTCCTAGTATCCTGTGAGCATTTTAGAATCATTAGCTCAACCACTATTCTGCACTTCTTTTATTTCAGCGTATAATGACAAAATTGTGGCATTTCTTCGCCAGCCGAACATTTTTGAGATGCTACAAGAACGTCAGCCAAGCTTAGCAAGAAACCACACACTCAGGTAAGTTCATCTCTTGCCCCAGAACACTTGGTCTTTCCAATTCTTTTTACAGGTTGGTAAACAACCATGTGGAGCGTGAACAGAAACTTGTGATGCATTTCATTCCTGAATTTAGATTATAATTTGAGTCCTCAAAATGAAGGGTCTAGTGTTCTGTAAAATTTCATACAGATGGTAATACTTTCAGGTTACAGAGAATTTATATGGTGCAGAAATGATTTCCACTGATTTGAAAAAAGGAACAGGAATAAAATAGTTTTCATTAAAATTTGTATATAAAATGCCATCCAGATTAAATGAGTTTTCAAATATAATTTTAATGATAAATTATTAAATGACAATATTTAAACCTAAACAAGCAAACACAAAGTATTATGTGTTCTAACTACTTAAATAATAGTGTATAGGAGAGTCATTTTTTAAAGAGACAATCATTCATGAATATTGTACTTACATCATTACCATCCCTCCATCTCCCTGTCCAGGTCTTGCCATGTTACCTCACACACACACATTCCCTCTCAATTTTGAGATAATTTCTTTGATTATTATTGTTACACATACACACACACACATACACATGCACACACATATATAGTATGTATAATCTACAGAGTCCATTGGGTGGTACCTTTATTTACATATGTTTAGGGATGACCACTTGGGATTGGATAATTTATCACAGAGCTCTTGGTTGGGGAATACTGATTCTCTCTCTCTCTCTCTCTCTCTCTCTCTCTCTCTCTCTCTCTCTCCATCCATCCATCCATTGATTGCCTGCATCTCTTCATCCAGAGGTGGGATCGTGTGAGATTTCCACCATACACATTAGCATGGCAGCCTATATGGTAATTTTTCAGGTCTTGATTAGGCAAGATGTTAGATGTTGATGATAATGGGTGCAGCTTCCCTGTCACATCTAGAAGACACAATCCAGCAGCAGGCATCCTGGACCTCTTGCTCTAACTCTCCTCCCCACCCTTGAGTGATGTTCCTTGAGTCTTCAGCATAGGGGTTTGCATTTTAAGTGTATCAGTTGGGACTGGGCACCCCACAGTCTCATATTCTCTATATTTTGACCAGTTGTGGAATATTCTCCATCTGTTGCAAAAAGAAAGCTTCCTTGATGAGTGGTGAAAACTCTACTTACCTGTGGACATAAGTACTCTGAATATAGAAGAAATTATATTGGTTTAGGAAAGTAGCAATAGTAAGTTATCTTCTGGGATCTATGACCTCTCCAGCCACAGGTATTTGACTATATTTACAAAACCAGGAATAGATTCCCTCCTATAAAGTGGGTCTTAATTCCAATTAGACAGCTGTTGTTTGCCCTCAAGATGAAAGTGCCAATATTATATCAATAGAGACATTTTGCTGGCCCAGTTATTGTTGTGATTCATAGGCTTTACAGTTGGGTAGGACTATTTTTTTCCCTCTAGGTAGCCCACATAACACCTTCCTATATTGTAGGAGCTAATCTTCAGGGAGACTTCCAAGTCAGTTACAGCTCGATTTCTCCATGTTCTGTGTCCGAACTGTGTGATGTCTTTAGCACCAGGGTCTCAATTCTGGGAAGAAACCAAGGCCGATGGGAACAGCCTGCATTGTTCTGGGAGACTCTTTGACTAACCTAACAACTCAAGGGAGGTTTCTTGTTGGGTTTTTTTTTGACAGGGTCTCCCTGTAGCCCCAGCTGGCCTGGAAATTGCTAAGCAGACCAGGCTGGCCTCGAACTCACAGAAATCGGCCTGCCTCTGCCTCCCGAGTGCTGGGATTAAAGGCATGCGCCACCACGCCCAGCGGGAGGTTTCTTTTGCTTGGCACTGGTTTTTTCAAACATCCTTGACTTATCTTTCCCTCTCTCTCCCTCTCTATTACCCTCCCCCTTTCTAGTTAAATCTTGCACCCCTATTTTTCCCATTTCTCCCTTGAAATCACTGTGTCCTACTGTTCCACTTTCTAAGGCGCCTTCTCCCTCCCTTCCTCATGGTGTCTTTCTACTCTCCTAGCTTCTGTGGTTATTTCTGCCTGTATGTTAATACCTAAGGAGTCAGAGCAGGGAATCCAAAAATATGATAGAACACGTGGCATTTGTCTTTCTGGGTTTGAGTTGCTTTATTCAGCATTATGTTTTCTACCTCTGTTCATTTACCTGCAGACTTCATGATTTCGTTTTACTTTAGTTGAATACAACTCCCGTGTGTATTTATCCTACATGTTCATTATCTGTTCATCAGTTGACAGGCATTAGTTTTTTTCCATTTCCTCTCTGTTTGAAAAGAGCAGCAACGGCTTGGCTGAACAAGTGTCTGTATAATAGGATAGCAAGTCCTTTGGGTATTTGCCAAGGAGTGGTATAGCTGGGTCATATCTACTTTTATCTTTTTAAGAATCCTCCACACTGATTTCCATCGTAGCTGAACTAGTGTGCAAGCCCACCAACAGTGAATTAGTGCTCTTCTTTCCCGGCTTCCTTACCAGCATTTGTTGTCAATTGTTTTCTTGATCTTAGCCAGTATGTCTGGGGTAAGATGAAATGCTGAAGTACTTTTAATTTTCATTTCCTTCAGTGCTAAGGATAGTCTTAAAGAGATTTCTTAGCCATTTTCTTATTTCTTTTTTTAAATGTTTTATTATTTTTATTTTATGTGTATGAGTGTATTGTCTGCTTGTATGTAATGCACCCTCTGCTCGCAGAGGTCAGAAAAGAGTGTTGGATCCCCTGGAACTGGAACTATGGACAGTTGTTAGTCATCATGTGGGTGCTGGGATTCAAACCCCGGTTTTCTGCAAAAGCAGCCAGTGCTCTTAACCGCTGAACCATCTCTCCAGCCCCCATTTTATTTATTATTTTGAGAATTCTCTGTTCAGATCTACCACCCATTTTTCCATTCGTTTTCTTGATTCTTTGTTTTCTGTATTCTTTGTATATTCTGGATATTAATCTTTTATTGGCTGCATGACTGGCAAACATCGCTCCCTCTTTGTGAGCTTCCTCTTCTTTCAATTGATTATTTTCTTTGCTGTACAGAAATTTTTAGTTTAATGAAGTCCCATTTGTCAATTGTTGACCATAATTCCCAAATGAATGAGGTCTGAATTAGAAAATCCATTCCTACACTTATATCTTATAGGGAGCCATCTGTGTTTTCTTCTAAGAGCTTCAGTGTTTCAGATTCATGTTGAGGTCTTTGATCCATTTGGAATTGATTTTTGCACAGAGGGATAGATGTGTCTAATTTCATTCATCTACATGTGGACATCCAGTTTCCCCAGCACCATCTGTTGAAGATGCTGTCTTTCTCCAGTGTGTTCTTTTGGCATCTTTGTCAAATATCAAATGGCTGTAATAAATTATGCTAAGTTAAAAGATTGCCTTAATAAGAAGAGACTTTGGGATTTTGAATGGTGGGTGTTGAGACTGTTAAAAACTATAGGAACTTTTGAAGTTGGACTGAATGCATTTTGCATGATGATACGGGCCTGAGCCTATAGGCGCCAAGGACTCAAATGTGGTTTGAATGAAAAATATCCCTCAGAGCTTCAAATATTTAGTTTCTCCCCAGTTGGTGGCGCTATCTGGGAGGTCATGGAATTTTCTGGTGACACCTTGCTAGAGGGAGTGTGTCGCTGGAGGTGGGCTTGGGGAGTTCGTAGCCTCACCCCATTTTCAGATGGCTCTCTCTGCTTCATGTTTTCTGTTGGTGTGAGCTCTCAGCCTCTGCTCCAGTAACCATGTCTACTGCTCCCTGCCATGTTTCCCTAACATGGTGAACTCATCCCTCTGGAACCATAAGCCAAAATAAACTGTTCCTTCACCAAGTTGTTTTGGTTATGGTTTTTTATCACAGCAACAGAAAGGTAAATAATAGAAAGTCTTTCGCCTCCTTGGTTGGGTTTATTTCTAGATATATTCTTGAGGCTACTGTGAATGAGCTTTTCAATGATCTCTTCTCAGCTTCTTGTTAATTGGTATATAGAAAAACTACTCATTTTGTAAGTTGACTTTGTATCATGCTACTTTGCTAAAAGTCTTTATCATTTCCACGAGTTTTGGGGTGGAACTTTGGGGATCTGCTATTTATGATGCCATATAATCTACAAATAGAGACAATTTGAGTTCCTTTTTCTATAAGTATACGGATACTTATAGAAAGTATATATCTCGGCATTGCACGACACGGGTGCACTCACATACATGCAGACAATACACTCCTACACGTGAAATAAAAAATAATAAATAAATAAATAAAATAAAGTGTATATTTAAAAGTGTAAGGAGTGCATATAGCTGACAGCTGTATCTTCTTCCTGATTTTAATGGAATTGCTTCGAGTTTTTCTCCTTTTAGAATGATGTTGGCTGTGGGTTTGTCATCTATATCTTTTTCACGTTGAACTATGTTCCCTCTAGTCCTATTTTCTCTAGGACTTTCATCCTGAAGCCTTGTTGGATTTCATCAAAGGCATTTTCTACATCTATTGAAATGATCATGAAATTTTTGTCTTTAAGTTCATCGATATAATTTACTACATTAATTGATTTAAGTATATTGAACCATCCTGTGTCTCTGGAATAAAGTCAACTTAATTATGATGGATGATCTTTTTGTTAGAGACCTGTATGTGTTTTGCAAATATTTTATTGAGAATTTTTACATCTATGGTGATCAGGGATCTCGGCCTACAGTCTCGTTTTGCTCTCTCTTTACCTGGTTTGGGGATTAGAGTAACATTGGCTTTGTAGAAGGAGTTCGAGTTTGGAAGTGCTCCCTGTGGTTCCAAAGTATTGGTTATAGTTCTTCTTTGAAAATCTGGTAGAATTCTGCTGTGACTCCATCTGGACCTGGGCTTTTATTAGTCAGAAGATTTTGTATTACTGTTTCAATATCCTTATTTGTTATGGGTCTCTTTGTTTAAATTTGGTGGATCAGCTGAAACTGGAAACTCATCCATTTCTTTTAGGTTTTCTAAATTAATAAAGTATGTTATTAAAATATTTCCCTATAATGTTCTGGATTCATTGGTGTCTACTGTAATGTTTCTCTATTCTTCTGTGACTCTGGTGATTTGGGTCTGCATTTCTTTTGAATAATTAGGCTAAGGGTTTGTCAACCTTGTTAAACAAACAGGTTTAGATTGACTGATTCTTTGTTTCGTGTGCTTTGTTCCTATTTAGTTAATTTCTTGTCTGATTTTTCCCCTGTAAAGAATTTGGTTTGGTTTTGTTCCTGTTTTTCCAGGTTCTTGACTTGTACCATTCAGTCATTTATTTGTACTCTTTCTAATTTAAAAAATATTAATTTTTAGCTGGGCATGGTGGTACACACCTTTAATCCCAGCCCTCGGGAGGCAGAGGCAGGTGGATCTCTGTGAGTTCAAGGCCAGCCTGGTCTACATAGTGAGTTCCAGGACAGCTGGGGCTACAGGGAGACCCTGTCTCAAAAAGAGCAAAAAAAATTAATTTTTATTCTATGTGTATGAGTGTTTTGCCTGCGTGTATGTAAGTGCACCATGTGCATGCAATTCCCACATAGGCCAGAAAAGGGCATTGATTCCCCTAAAACTTGAGTTATTGATTATTGTTAGATGCAGTGTGGGTCCTGGGACCCATACCTGGGTCCTCTGCAGGAATAGCCAGTCCTCCTAGCCACTGAGCCATCTCTCCGACCCCTCTTTGATATATTTTTTTTTTCTTTTTTGGTCTTTTTGAGACAGGGTCTCCCTGTAGCCCCAGCTGTCCTGGAATTCACTCTGTAGACCAGGCTGGCCTTGAACTCACAGAGATCTGCCTGCCTCTGCCTCCTGAGTGCTGGGATTAAAGGAGAGTGCCACCACGCCCGGCCCTCTTTGATATTTTTAATGGAGACTCTTTAGAGCTATAAATTTCCCTCTTAGGGCTGCTTTTAATCTGTACAAAAGGCTTTGTTGTATTGTGTTTTCATTTTCATTAAGTTACAGGGATCTTTCTCATTCCCTCTTGATTTCTTTGACTCATTCATCATTCAGTAGAGTGTTGCTTAATCTCCATGATTTTGTGTAATTACTAGAGATCCTTTTGCTGTTGATTTTAAGCTTTAATTTACTATAGTTATATGGGATGTATGGAATTATTTGTTTCTTTATATTTGTTAAATTTTGTTTCTGTGCCAATGTGTGCTCTTATTTAGAGAAACTTCCATGTGCTGCTAAGTAGAATGTATATACTTTAACGCTTAGGTGGAAGTCTGTAGGTGTCTGTTAGATCTAGGTTGACATATGACATCAATTAATTCTGATGTGTCTCTGTTTACTTTTTGTCCAGATGACCTGTCCATTGGAGAAAATAGGGTATTAAAGTCACTTGCTATTATTAGGACGGGGTTAGTCTGTGTCCTGAAGTTCAGTAGTATGATTTTATGAAATTTGCTGTACCAAAGTATGGTACGTGTAAGTTTAGGATTCTTGTTTCCCTAGTTAATTGTTCCCTTGGTCAGAATGAACTGTCCTTCTTTATCTTTTCTGAGTAATTTTAGCTTAAACTCTATTTTCTCAGCTATTAGGATGCAATGCCTGCTTGTTTTTTGTTCCCATTCGCTTGGAATACATTTTTCATCCTTTCACTCTAAGATGGCACCTATCCTTGAAGTCAAGATTCATACCTGTAGGCAACAAAAAAGATGGATTTTGTTTCTTAATCCATTCAACTATCAGGCATGTTGGTATTACAAGAACCTTGGAAAATTTCTAATGTAGAATTCCTGACCTTTTTAAGCTTATTGACTTCCTTAAGAATATGGTGAAGAAGCTAGACACCTTTAATCCTAACACTCAGAGGCAGAGGCAGAGGCACGCAGATCTCTCTAAGATGGAAGCCAGCCTAGTCTCCATAGTGAGTTCCAGACAAGCTGGGGCTACCAAGGAGACCCTGTCTCAAAAATAAATAGGGGCTGGAGAGAGAGCTCAGTGGTTAACAGCACTGGTTTTTCTTGCAAAAGACCCGGGTTTGAATCCCAGCACCCCCATGGCAGCTAACAGCCATCCATAACTTCAGTTCCAGGATATTTGATGCCTTCTTCTGTCCTCTGCAGGCACTGCATGATATGGATGCACTTACACACTTGCAGACATAACACTGATACACATAAAATACAAATAAATAAATAAATACAAAAATCTAATGAAGAGGCTGGAAAGATGGCTCAGTGGTTAAGAGTACTTGCTGCTCTTGAAGAGTACCTGGGTTCAGTTCCCAGCACTGACAGGGTAGCTAGCTGCTAACAGCTATCTATAACTCCAGTTACAGGGGGATCTGAGAAACTTTCCGGCTTCCTAAGGCACCAGGCACACATGTGGTAAATTTATATCCATGTGGGCAAAACACTCATATACATAAACTAAATACATCTTTTTTAAAAAGGTTTAAAGGATCTGATAAAGCCTATTTTAGACTCTTCCTCCACATATGAATCTGCTGGTTTATAACTTCGAGCAGCTAAAGAAACAATGGATTCATTCAGCAGGTTGACAACAAGATACCAGGTGGAGAGGGAGATGAAGTCAGAAAGCTCAGGGGCTAATAGCATGCTTATCTCTAAGTCCTGATTCATCTCTCCTCAAATCAGTACTTTCAACAAGAAAGAAGAAAGCAGCTTAAATAGATTTGGGTCCCTTGAGGCAACAGTGTAACCTGCCCAGGAGGTTTTATGTAGAGTTCACATAAATTTGAGAGCCATTGGCTGAAGTTGGTGTATCAGAGGAAAAGGTCCAACAGTGTCTTCCAAACAGTAAGACTGAAGTAAAGTCTGGATTTGGAGGGTAAACCTTGGGGATGTAGGAGGAAGGAGAAGCAGGTGGAAACGTAAGCTGGTACTTGTAACTACGGCTGGGCTGGGTAGCCCAGTCTGCTTCCTTTTCCAAACTCCAGTTAGAGGAGCTACAGTGAACCTCCCCCAGGCTCTGGGAACAGCATTTACTCAAGTGGTATTTCACTTCTACCAAGGTTGATCCCAAGTTCTCTGTTCAGTTACATTTTACATATCTGTAGAGCCCACAAAGATTTCTGCACTTTTTGCCAAAAAGTCAAGTTGATTATATTTTTGCCAGAATATACACAAGTTATGCAGATGTGGATTCACAATCCAACAGAGAGCAATGTTGTATCAGCCGCATTCCCTACAGTGCTACTGGGGTAAACAGAGTGAAGATATATGAGATCTCTTTGTATTTGTTCTTTTAATTACTCGAGCCTCAGCTTATATAAAAATTTAAATTTAAAAATCTAAGTATTATAAAAATAAAATCAGTCCCCAAGTTTCCCCAAGACTTATGCTGGGAAAGGCAAACATTAACTCATTTGAAGCAAGTATATATGTAATTATTGCAGGTGGTTTTGGTAAGAGCAGGAAACGAATTTTCAAAGTTAATTTAATCAAAAGAAATAATACTTGCCCAGAGAGTTCCTTGAACTAACTTTCCATATTAGGTTTGGAAGTCAGGATAGGTCATCTGTAACTAAACTGAGATAAGCTGAGGCCTGTGCTTTGACTAATCCTGAATATCCTTGTTTGCTCTGAATCATGGGTTATGGGCATGCGGGTTTCGTGGAGCGCCAGCTGCTGGGCGTGGCGCCGGTCTCCCACACATCGCTGGAGTGCGGTGGGTCCCGCGGGCCACGTCTGCTGTTTGGGTCCCTGGCTCTCCGCCACTGGGGTGTGCGCGTGTCCCCCACCGCGTTGCTGTGGGTCTCCGTATTGCCGGAGCTGGCGGCTCTAGGACCGCTGTCAGCTGCCCGGTCGGGTTCCGTTTCAATTTCCATGGTGCACTCCCTCTAAATTTGAGATCCCTTGGCCACCAGGTCACGAGGGGAGGTGCGAGAAAAGGCGAAAGCAGGGTCTCCGTGAGTCGTGGTTTATGAAGAGACAGCTCTCTCCGGGAAAACTGGATCGTAGGCAGTAAGACACAGAACTCAGCTCAGTACAGCTCCTTTATTCAGTGACTCAGCTCGGCTCCAGGTCTTAGTGATTCAGCTCCGATTAATTAGGGGAAACCAGGACATTTATACTGTGGGGGCAGTGGCAAAAGCCTTAGTGGATAGGTTTCAGGATGCCCCATTTACATGTGGTGGTGGGCTTCTGCCAGGCTGCCAGACATTGCCTTCAGACTGCCTGAAAATCACACAGGAAAACCTGGCAGTTTCAGAGCCGGAGGCCATGTTTCTGTGACGGCTACTTCAAAGGTGAGTCAGGAAGATGCTGGGAAGGCACCCTGCTGATAAAAGGAGTCTCTGCATATGAAGCCGAGCCCATGGGCTATCCGGACATGGAGAGAATGCTACTTTACACAACAGGGGTCCCCAACAATGGGTGCCCTTTGTACCCAATTGGCATTATAAACTTTCCATCAGGCACAAGATTTCCTGAGCAACATCCCATACTTTGTCTTCTGTGCCTTACAATGGTGTTTTGAGACCAAAAGTAGCCTTTCCACAGTTCCCCCAGCCTGGCTGCCCTCTTGCCTTTATCAGGCTCTGACTTTGCTGTGCTCTTCAACTTTTGTATCTGTCTGAGCTTCAGAAAAAGCCATCCCCTGTAAAGCATCTACAAACCCACAAGCTGAGTTCTGAGTACTGTAAAATGCACCAGATGTTAGGTAATGCTGTTTAGCCATTTCGCAAGAGTGAATTAAAAAGAAATCTAAAATGGTTTTTCTTTTAGCCTTTGTACTGATATGTAATTCTCATCTTTCCAACATTACTCCAGGGAGAAAATCCATTACATTCGGACAGAGGGCAATCATGGGCTTGAGAAGTTGTCCTGTGATGCAGATCTAGTCATTTTGCTGAGGTAAGGTATTGTACCTGAAAGTGCCTGAAATAATTCTCAAAAAGATGCAGTGGAACTTGATGGGTGGGGTATAGGAAAAGGTTCTGGACCACCCTGAAAGGGATGAGAATCAAATATTTGTCATTTGTTCTAGAAGATTCTAATACTCTAGTAGGTAAAAATGAAGGGTCTCCAGCCTTAATGGACAGTACTTGTCACCCATTCTTGTCTTTATTTGGACAACTAGAGCATCAAGAGTTATGTGAAGCTCTTGAAGACTTTGTTGTAGGAATAATAAAGGCTTTAAAAAAAAAACAGAATCTGTAAATGGGAACTCTGACTGCTCTTACACAATCTGTGAATACTTTCTCAAGGGACTGAAAACTAATTTTTCTCTTTTTAATCTTGCAGTCTCGTTGAAGAAGAGATTATGTCCTATGTACCCCTGCAGGCTTCCTTCCACCCTGGGTATAGCTTTTCTCCTCGCTGTTCCCCCTGTTCTTCACCTCAGAACTCCCCAGGTAACTTGGGATTCGGGCCTGCTGTTGCCTAAGTGGTCGTGTGTTTTCACCAACTGAAAGGGAATCCAGACAGTTCTGTGTGTGCCATCTCTCTCTCTTCATTCCTCTCAATTTTCTGATCAGAAGTACACTCTCTAAATCAGGTATTGACACACTGCTGTCTATTTTTATAATGTCTAAACACTACAATTAGATTTGTTTATGTTTTAAAGTAATTGAGAAAAAGCTTTTTGGAGACAGAACCTCACTATTTAGCCTGAGTAGTCCTCAAACTCATGATCATTCTGCCCTAGTCCCCCAGATATTGGGATTATAGGAGTGTGCCATCATGCCCACCCAAAACAACTTTTTAAAACACAATATGATAAGAAAACAAAATTTCAGGATGTCTAAAGAATGACTTACTGAAGTCTAGCCATGCCTGTTCACTTATGTTTGCTGTGGGAGCTTTCATACTCAATGATAGCAGAGAGGAGTAATACTAATAAAAACTGTGTTGGCCAAAAGGCCTAAATATTTACTCTCTGCCCCTTTACAGAAGCAGATCCCTGCCCTAACATGTTCTTATAGTTCGGTTTCTCTGCTGCTGTGATAAAACACCGACCAAAACCAATTTGGGAAAGGGTTTATTTCAGCCCACAGGTTACTGTCCATCATCAAGAGAGGGCAGGGCAGGATCTCAAGCAGGAACCTGGAGACAGAAACTGAAGTAGAGTCCATGGAGGAGCGCTGCTTACTGACTTGCTTCCCCTGGCCTGCTCAGCTACTTCGCTTACACAGCCCAGGCCTACCTGTCCAGGGCAGACACCACTCACAGTTGATTGGGCCCTCCTTCATCAACTAGCAAACAAAAAAATGTCCCACAGACATGCTCACAGCCCAGTGTAATGGAGAAAATTCTCTAGTTGAGGCTCTCTCATCCCAGGTGACTCTAGTTTAGGAAGTTAACAAAAACTAAACAGCACATGTGTCATTGCATTTCTGAGGCTGCATTTCAAATGAAAGGTCCTTTCTGAAAACTTTGCCTTAGCTCTTAGAAGTCTTGGTATACCCATTCTGATAACAGATTTACCCGGGACCATTCTTACATCTCTACAGTGATTCCAAAGAATTTTCCTATACCACATGAAATTATTCTGTTTTGTCTATATTTCAAAGTGATTTGCCCATTGCACAAAAATCTTTGTATTTTCCATTCTAAATGAAGATATATGTGTTGATTGAAGTATTCAGCAAAAATATATTTCCTTGAGTCTTCATGATAATTAGACAAATCCAGGCCACCAAATCATATATAGTTATTATAGAATTTCTCCATATTTTTGGCTTGCATTCTCATAGTTATAGGTTTCTATGTAAACCAAAATCTCTTTTTGTAGCCTTAAAAGTTAAAAAAAAAAAAAAAACTCCAGGATCTTCTTTTCTCAAAACCAGTTTGACATGAGGAAATTGAGGTTACTAATTTATGACTTAA